AAAGCCCATTGGTGCTCTGGGTACCAGTCAAGAGAGGCATCCTGGAAGGTGTCCAATCAGTGACACAAACGACTGTAAAATGCAGAGGCCACCCAGCCCTGACTTCTGTCTCCTCAGGCAAAGTGCAGGGGGTCCTACATTCAGAAGTGTTTTCACTCTCATCCCCTGTGCTAGCAAGTTAGCTGGGCTGAGTACAGAAATCTAGGCTGGTAGGTTTCTCCTTGGTACTTTAGGTACGTTGCTCAGGGTCTGCCCAATCAGTTTCCAACCAGCAATTTCATGCATCTTTGCCTCTATTCCTCTCTCTTTCTAATGTTTTTGTTTTCTTTTGGTACCACATCTGGTAGCACTGGGGAGCTTCTCCTGGCTTGGATCTCAGTGGTCCCTGTGATGCTGGAGAATGAACAGCATCAGTCCTTCCTACAGCTCAGTCCTTCGGGCTGTCATCCTGCGCCCCCTTTAGAGAACTTGGTTAGGATGCAACTTAGCACAGGAGTCCCCCCCGCCCCCCCATGCCTCTGATGCTTACAGTTCAATGAAATTCTTAGATTTGTGAGATTGTAGTTGTCAATTAAGTAGGAGATTGTTTCTGCCATGAACTTACCGTTTTTCCTGACCTCTGGGCCCATATGTCAGGCCACTTGAAATGGTTCCACAGTTCAGTTCTTTTCATTCTTGAAAATAATTCTCTTTCATTTTGGATAAATTCTGTTGCTCTACCTTCAAAATCACTCCTCTTTTCCTATGTAATGCCTACTTTGCTACTGTCCAACATATTTTTCATTTTGGAAATTGTTTCATCTCAAAAGTTCTATTAGGATTTTTGAAAATGCGTTCAGTGATTCTATTGACTTTTTGAAGGTCGGAACTGGAGTTACCCTCACTGGCGTGAGCTGGTCCTGATACCCCCGAGGGGACTTACGTGATCCCTCTCTTCGCTCTTTGCTACGTTTTGTTTTCTTGCTAGTCTGATGCTTGGTCATTGGCTGCCAGACACCATGATTTCACCTTATGGGGTGCTGGATATTTTTGTAACCCAATAAATTGGGCTTTGTTTTGCACATTGGGCTCGGGGACATGTGGGGCAGGGCTCTGCTGCAGGCTGACTCCACATCGCAGGCACTGCCTTCTTGAAAATGCCACAAATCACGGGTTCCATTCTGCAGAAGAGCAGTTACCTGTGTGAGTACCAGGAGCTGTGACCGCTACTCCTTGTCTCCTGATACTGGGGGTGGGGCCCTACCCAGCGGTGCTGGGGAAGGGGCAAGGCCACTCCCAATGGGACCGTGGGGGTGCGCAGGTGCCATGAGAGCCAGAGCCAGTGGTGCCGGGAGTGACCATCTGCCTGACTCTGCTCCTGCCCACGTGCTGTGAGTGCACTGCTGGCCTCTCCCACTTCCTGTCCCACCGCTGTGCTCCCACAGCCTGCCCAGATGCTCCAGCTGCCTGGCTCGCCCAGACTCTCCACCGTGTCCCATTGGAGGGTCTGGTAGCCCCCCAAGGCCGCTCCCTGGTAGACAGTCACGTTGCTTCCCTCTGTTGTTTGGTGTGTCAGGCGTCACTATCCATTGGTCCCAGCTTCCAGGATCATGACGATTGTTTGATATCTTCTTCCCACTGCAAAGTCAGGGCCTGTCCTCCTTCGGGGGTGGGGGCAGAGGGGCTTGCGCCTGGGGCGAGTGCTCTCGGGGCCGCACTCTCTCTTCTGCTCCATCACCTGCTTTCTTCTCAAGACTCTAAAAGGGCATGTTGGGGTACAAGTGCCAAGGTGGTGGCAGTGGATCTGACGTTCGTGCTGGGGGCACCCAGAGCAGCACCTCTCCGGGGCTCTCTGTCCTGCGGCCATGCCCACTCCAATGTGACAATCCCAGCCCACAGCGTCCTTCATGGGAGATCGTCATTCCCAGACTCTCAGCCCGGGGGAGCAGGTGAACAAGTGACTCCCTGCCCAGGGACAGTGGCTTTTCTCCCGAGAACAGGTGATGCAGAGGTGGCGGATGTGAACCTCTCATATGGTCCCCACTGGAGGCAGTAGGCAAACAGCTGACCCTTGTCCCCTAGCCCAGAGCAGGTGGGGGCATGGGAGAGACGGTTTGGGGACATGCCACGAGGCACGTGGAGTGGGATACAGTCTTGAACTGGCCTGGAAGCAGAGGCTGGAGGGCACCTTGGGGTGCCAGAGATACTCCTGTGGCAGATATAAGCTGCACGAGCACGACCTGCCCATTGGTCCCCTGGAAGGTAGAGCGTCCCCTGCAGCGTCCAGCCTCTGAAAGTCCCACATATGCCTGCAAACCCGGGGGATATCGGAGCAAGAGGGTCAGTGTGCAGCTGTTCCCAGGAGGTGGAACCTGACTGAGGGGGCTGCATGCTGGCCTCATGTGGGGGGAGATTCAGTCAGTCACATGCAGGGGTTTAACTCTGGGGGCCTGGACACTTGAGCCACTCCCCGTGTGGCTGCAGGGGGGCATATGGTGCCCCCAGGAATCAAACTCGAGTCCCGCTCCTGGCCCAGTCACTGCTGTGGTTGAAGTGACCCAGTGTGGAGGTCAGGCAGGGCTGCAGCATCACAGGCTGTCCCCCTCCCCCACAGAGTCCTGTGAGGGTTCTGCACCCCTATACTCTGAAGCCCTAGCACGGCTGAGCCCACTAGGCAGGTGGGGCCAGGCTGGCACTGGGTCCTGGGGGGAGCTGTGGCTGGGAAGAGCGCCCTCTTTCTGCCATGTGAGGGTACAGCCAGAAGAGTGCTCTGTGAACCCTGTGGGCACAGCCCTTCTTTTTTTTTTTTTTCTTTTTGGGTCACACCCAGTGATGCACAGGGGTCACTCCTGGTTCATGCACTCAGGAATTACTCCTGGCGGTGCTCAGGGGACCGTATGGGATGCTGGGAATTGAACCCAGGTCGGGCCGCGTGCAAGGTAAATGCCCTACCCGCTGTGCTATCACTCCAGCCCCAGCACAGCCCTTCTGATCCCACACTTCACACTTCTAGCAGCCACATCTATGAAAAATTACATTTTTATTGCCAAGTCAGTCGCCCAGCTCTGGCGTATCGGTACTGCAGGGAGAATGAGACTCTGGCACCCACGCAGAGCCCGGCCATCTCTCTGGGCTTGGTGTCTGGCTGCAGTGCACGCACGCTGTCTCTGAGCCGACCCTGCTGAAACACTCCTCGGGCTAAGTCAGTCCTGTCAGAAATTCACAGCCACACGGAGGCGGCTTCTCTGGGAGGAGTCGATAGAGGCCCGGAGAAAGGTTGCATTTTCACGGTGTGCAAAACCCGTGGGGCAGCACCATGCAAGTAGAAAGGAGGCCACAGGGCCCGGCGGGCAGCCCAGGACTCTGCACCGCTCCGGAGGGGCCACAGCACAGGCTGACGGAGGTGTGTGTGTATGGGGGGGGTGCTTCCCAGGACTCAGCAGGTGCAGAGGCCAGAGGCCGGAGGGCTGGGGACAGCAGCGGGCAGCCAGTGGGCTGCGGGCACTGGAGCGCACTGAGCACAGGAAGAAAGGGCCAGGCTGAGTGGGTGGCTGTGGAGAGACAAGACCACACAGCCTGGGCCTGGAAGGACATTGCTACACAGACAATGGGATGTCCCGGACACGCAGGCTTGGCGGCTCACCCCAGCACACCCCAGCAAAGGCCAAGGGAAAGCTGTTGGTCTTTACGGGAAAGTCCGTGGGAAATGCTCTGAGGGACCGCGTGCTCCCGGCCTCCCGAAAGGCCCCTTTCTCCAGCCCATCCCGAGGCAACCAGGGACTCCGACAGCCGACAGTGCTTGGGCTTTTCCACCGCCAGGGTCGAGGCGCCGCGCAGTGGGGCTGGGCTTTATCTGGCCAGTTCCGTTTCTTTCTCTCTAGTTTTGGGGCCACACCTGGCAGTGCTGGGATTGAATCCAGCGTCCTGCAGCGTCAGGGCTGGTTCTGCACGGAGGGCCGGGTTGGCACGCTTTCCTCCTGCCCTGCAGAGCCGACGGGGCGCCGCTCCATCCCGCGGCCGGCTCTCCCCGCCCAGGGGGACTGTGCTCGTAAACGCACCGAATCCCTGCACAGTCACCGCACAGTCCCGTCTCTTGGAGCCGCCACCGGCCCCGCATACGCTCCTCGTGAGACCCTCCCCACTCGTCCCCGGCTCCATTCTCCCGTGGCCAGGGCCTGTGACCTCCCGACTCCGGGCACTGCCACGAAGTGGGCACTACGGGTCCGGGGTTCGCCGCGTGCCCAGCAGGGTCTGGACGGACCAGTCAGCGAACTCAGCCAGGCAGGCTGGGAAAGCTGCGCGCGCGCAGCTCAGGGGCACGGAGGGGCTGGCGGGAAGGACCCCCGCGGGCCGCCGGCTGCAGCGCTCGCCCGGAGGGGCGCTCAGGACCCGCACCCGCACGCCCTCCCCGTCCCGAGCCCGGTGCGCACGCGCCCGCCCCTCGCCGGCGCCCGGGGCTCCCAGGCCCCGCCCCGGCCCCGCCCCCGGCCGTCCCGCGCCCCGCCCCCGGCTTCCCAGCATCCCGGCTTCCCTACGGCAAGCGGCGAGGGCCGCGCTCGGGAGCCGGGAGCCGGGAGCGCGGGGCGGGGCGCGCGCTGAGGTCAGCGCGGCCGGCCCCGCCGTGGTTGGCTGCCCCCGCGCCGGCCGCGCCCTGGTTGGCTGCGGGCCGCGGGGCCGGGCGCCGGGTCGGGGCTGGGGTCGGGCTCGGGCGCCGGCCGGGCTTGCGCAGCGCCGGGCTCCGGGGCGGCGGCGGCGGCGGCGGCGGCGAGGGCGCGGCCGAGGCCGGGCGGGGCCGGGGGCGGCGCGGCGCGGCCGGGCCGGGCCGGGCGCGGTGGGCGGCGGCGCCGAGGCGAGGGCGGCGGCCCATGGACCCGCGGGCCCCGGCGCCCCAGACGCTGCGCCGCCGGGACCGAGCCCAAGATGTCGGCCTAGGCCGGGGCGCGCCGACGCGGACGCGGACGCGGACGCGGGCGGGCGGGCGGGCGCAGCGCCGGGCCCCGGGGGGCTCGCCCTGACCGAGCGGCGGCCGAGCGGGCGCGGGGCGGCGCGGCACCATGTCGGCCAAGGTGCGCCTCAAGAAGCTGGAGCAGCTGCTCCTGGACGGGCCCTGGCGCCACGAGAGCGCCCTGAGCGTGGAGACGCTGCTCGACGTGCTCGTGTGCCTCTACACCGAGTGCAGCCACTCGGCCCTGCGCCGCGACAAGTACGTGGCCGAGTTCCTCGAGTGGGGTAAGTGCGCCGCGCCCGGGCCCGCACCCGCACCCGCACCCTTGCGCCCGCCGCCCCCGGGCCGCGATCCCCGGCCCGCGTCCTGCCACCCGCCCGGGCCCGCACCCCGCACCCTTGCGCCCGCACCCCCCGGGCCGCGATCCCCGGCCCGCGCCCTGCCACCCGCCCGGGGCCGCACCCCGCCCCGCGCCCCTCCCGGTCCGCGTCCCCCCCGCCCCGCATCCCGCTCGCGCCCCCCCCCGCCCGCGTCCTGCCACCCGCCCGGGCCCGCACCCCGCCCCGCAAACCCTTCTCCCGTCGCCACCGCGGCCCGCTCGCTTGCTGGCTCGCTTCTTCCGGCCCGCACCCCGGGGTCGCACCCCGCCCCTTCCCCCCCGCTGCCCCCGCTGCCCGCGCCGACCTCCCCCTCTCCGCCCCGCGCCCCCGCATCCTCGCGTCCTGCTCGCGCCGTCGCGCCGGGCCCGGCGCCCACTTCCTGCCGGGATATCCGCTCCCTCCGCTCCCGCAGCCCGGGCCGCGCGGTCCGTCCGCGGGTGGGGGTCACCTCCGGGCCGCCTCGGGTCCCGGCGCGACCCCCGACGCCCCTCACGGCGGCCGGCCCCCGGGGGCCCCCAGGATCCCCTCATCCCCCCCTCAGACCTCCTGAGCGCCCCCGGGACCCCGCTCAGACCCTCTCGGACGCCCCCCGCCCTCCGCGGGTCCCTGTGCGCCCCCAGGACCCGCGCGGCTCGGACCGGACCCGCCCTGGTCCCTGGGGCCAGGCGCCGCGCGGACGTGTGGACGCGCCCGCGAGATCCACGTCGGGCCTGTCACCCGTGGGGACCCCTCGGGCGCCCCTGGGCGTGGAGTTCTGGGCGTCCCGCGTGCGTCCCTCCCCACCCGAAGCCCGGGCGGTTCCGCGGCCGGCTCCCAGGGCCTGTGTGTGGGGTGGGAGTGGAGGACGTGAGGCCTCGGCCCCTGGAAGGGGGTCCCGCCGCAGCCCCTCACGCAGGCCTGGGTGGGCTCCCGGCGGGCAGCGGCCTGGAGGGCCGTTACCTGACGGGACTGACCTTGGCTCCTCCCGCAGAGGCCAGGCGGCCACCCAGAACTATTTCAAAACTGCCCAGGGCTGGAGAGAAGGGCGGCGGGGTCTCTGGCTTTGCACTGGCCGGCCAGCCTGGGTTCGAGCCCGTGAGCCCTCCACGCCCAGGAGTGAGCCAAACACCCCAACAGAAAAGCAGAACTTGTATCCCGGGTCTTTGGAAATGGTGACTGCAAGGAATGTTCTTGATGGTGTCGCTGTGTTTGCACAGAAGGTGGATTTCCGGGTGACTAAGGATCAACTTAGATTTGAGGATTTTGGATGATTCCATGCAGTCAAATGAAATGCACTTATTTGTACCCGCTCCCGTGTTCCCATGGTGGGTGTGGGTGTCGCCATGGCTTCCTCGATCCCCTTGCAGGGGCAGAATGACCTTTCAGCTAGAATTGGCGCATTATCAGGTTCTCGATTTCCAGGTGAAATGGCTCAGGAAATACAGTCATAAATCATAGATGCATATCAGGTATGGAGAGTATCTTCTCTGTGGATTATTGAGTTTTTGGGGTTCATTCATGTGTGATGTTTGAAACTGCTGATGTCATGCAAAACTCAAGACAAAGCCTTTCCTTCACCTTCCAAATACTACCGGGTGTCTGCCAGTCAAAGAATCCCCCCCTTTTTTTTCTTTTTCTTTATCCGTCACACCTGGTGATGCTCAGGGGTTACTCCTCGCCCTGTACTCAGGAACTAGTCCTGGTGGTGCTCAGGGGACCTATGGGGTGCTGGCATCGAACCCAGGTTGGCTGCATGCAAGGCACACGCCCTGACCTCTCTCTGGTCCCAGGAGTAGGATTTTAAAAAATGGGGCCCTCTCTGGATGCCTAGCGGTGCCGGGTAGGGGTGGGGAGTGCAGTGCCAGGGGTGAGAACTCAGGACTTCGCCCGTGCAAGACCCACGCTCTGCTCGGGCCTGGGCTCCCCGCGCCTGGTGCGGGGGCTCAGAGTTTGAAAGATGAATTCTGACTCTTGTTTTCTTACTGCCCCGGTGGTTTCAGGGGACAAGTCAGGCTAGTCTTTCTTGTAGGTTTTGTCTTTAATTTTCTCTTGATTATGTTTATAGTTTGATTAGTTTCCTGTATGAAGTCCTGGACCTTAATTAAAAGTTGGAAATATTCTGCTCCGCATGTATATTTCTTTCCTCTATTTTAAATGCAAATTTGGTCCCATTTGAAGGGGAGTCTACCGAAACTTCTAAATTTCTACAATAGCAGCAACTAGGGTAGTTAAAGAGGTAAATCTGCTCTTGTCTTTAATCTTTTCTACATGAAAAATCCCTGAAACTTACATGTGTTAATTATTTTCTTCCTGGCTTCAATGTAATGGCTACTGTTACACTTGGGTCTGAGGGAGGGGGGTTGAAGTTGCAACCTGTAGGTCTTGGATCCCGAGGCCTCCCCTGGACGCCCCACAAGGCTGCAAACAGGTGGTGGGCCTCGGGTGGATTGCGGTGGAGATGGTGGTGTCCCCGGATTCCCATCCTACTGTTTCCTCCCACTGTGAGCGCCTCCTTTGTGAGGAAGAGTGTTTTTTCGTCTTTTTTGGGGAGGCTGGCTGTGTGTGTGTGTGTGTGTGTCCCCGCTGGGAGTTTTCTTATTCTGCGTTCTGTGGTTCCTTCTCCAGTGCTCCCTCAGTTGTGCCTCAGTTCCTGAGAGCTCAGGGCGGTCTCTCAGTGAGTCATGCAGGCTTCCCGGATGATGATGCTGGTATGGCGAGGTGTGTTAGAATCTTAATGGTTTCTCCAGATGGAACCTTTGGGTAACGGGACACGAGTCCTCGTGGGAGGGCGGGGACTGCCAGGTGAGGCCTCGTGGAGTTCTGGGGATCAAGCCTGTGGGAAGGTGCACTCCAGTCCTTTGAACTACCTCCCCAGCCCGGGAACTCTTAAAAAATAAACCTGTTCTGGGGCTGGAGAGATAGCACAGCGGGTGGGGCGTTTGCCTTGCACGCGGCCAACCTGGGTTCGATTCCCAGCATCCCATAGGGTCCCCTGAGCACCGCCAGGAGTAACTCCTGAGTGCAGAGCCGGGAGTAACCCCTGTGCATCGCCAGGTGTGACCCAAAAAGCAAAAAAAAAAAAAAATCTGTTCTGGGCTGGAGTGATACTGCAGCCTTTGCTTCACCTGTAGCCGACCGAGGTTCGAGTCTCCAGAGCCCAGCCAAGAGTGATTCAGAGCACAAACCCAGGAGTTGACCCCGAGCATGGCTAAGTGTGGCCCCCAAACTAACAAAGACCAAAACATACAAAACATTTCACAGGTGCAGGGATTAGTGTTGGAACGCTGTTTATCTGAAGCCCAATCATGAATGACTTTGTAATTTGCGATGACTAAAATTATATATATATAATAAACTTAAGAAATGGGTCTTTTGGATATTAAGATCTAAATTGTAAGGAAATACTGTGTAGTAAGAATTGTGTCATCGGTTACATTTTCTGAAGTTATTTAAAGTGCATATTGATACCGTGCACGGACAGGAGAGAGTTGAAAACTGGGGAATGTTCCCCACCAGCCCCCACTGGCCTCCCCTAAGACCTCGTGTCCGTAATGGCTTCTGTAGGGAGCAGCGGCGTCTACAATCAGAGCAGAAAATTGCCATTGAATCAGCTCTCACTTCAAGGTACTGCGTGTGAAGTACCTGAGAACGGTCATGATTCGCAGTGAACTGCTCCTCAAGCAGACTGCTCATGGCGCGTACAAAAGCTCCAGCAGGACTGGCAGGGCTGACAGCCCCCACCCGAGCCCGCTGCCTCCACCTGGCAGTGCCTGAAGGCCTTAGCGTGGTCCTGCCTGTGCTGACGCCAGTGAGGCTGATAAGTGGGACTGTGAGTCCCACACCAGACGAAGGATGCCATAACTGTCCAATGGTTTCCCTGGTGAAAAGGCAGATGGATTTTTTGAGACTCATGAAATTAGAGGATCTTTCTGGAAGGGACCACACAAAAGCCAAAGGAAGATAAGACTAAAGAAAAATCGGAAATAAGCAAAAGTCAGCATGCTTTTTTGACTCACTGCTGTAATGTGACCAACCTAGTATTCACTGTCCTGAGTTAATATTTGATTCTTCGATATATCGGATTGTCGAGTGTGTCCCAGTGACTGTCTGTGGTTTTAGTTTTGATTGGGGGGCACTCCCTAGGGGTGCTTGGAGCCACCAAGGCTATGCCCACCTGTGCCTAGGAGGTCCTGTGGTGCCCAGGCGGGAACCTGGGCATGTGTACGCCAGGCAGCTGCCCAGCCAGTTTAGGTTTTCTGTTTTAGTTTTTCCGTTTCGGGGCCACACCTGGCATCACTCTGGCTCTGTGCTCAGGACCATATGGGATGACCAGCGTTGGCTGCTTGCAAGACAAGTGCCTACTGGACTCTCTCTCCAGCCCAGTTCTCCGGCTCAGTTGGGAGCTGCTCCCCCAGCTGTGCTCTTTCTTACTCGTGAATCTGACTGGGAGGGAAATGTCTTCACTGTGTGAACTGTGTGTGCCGATTTGGGGGGAGGCCTTATTGGGACTGCAGATCCGCCAGAGAAACTTTGTGAGTTGATTTTTCCTTTAAATCGGGGCTGGGGAGACAGTGCAACGGGTAGACTCTTGCCTTCCACGCAACCGACCCAGGTTGATCCCCGTCACCCTGTGTGGTTCCGTGAGCCCACCAGGAACGATCCCTGAGCACTCCCAGATTATGATGCGCCCCCCCCCCCCCAAAATGCCACCAGTGAAATAAAGGAAGATCACAGTCCTTCCTTTATTTTATTTCATTTCCCCCTTTTGTTTTGTTCCCCTGTCGGGAGGCCCGAGGTCCTTGCCGTGCTGGTGCCTTTTGCCACAGAGCCATTTCCAGTCCTCCTTTATTCTATTTTCCATAAGCAAAGTCACCTTTTCTTAGATTCCTCCCTCCCCAGTCACCAGACACCTTTCTCCGCTCTCC